TCATGTGGAACTGCTATATAAGATTCATTGATGCAGGTAAAAGTGATCATCTCCCTGTACTGCTCCAATAAGTACTGCTACCCAAACTTTACTTTGTTGAAGTAGAATTATTTTCCACCCTCTCACAGAGGTGAGATGTGAATCTCACTGCTATATCGCTACTACCATGGAAAGTGCTCAGACAAACTACATTTCTTGGTTCTGCTAGGACCTGAATGCCACTTACATAGTAGTAAACCCCACCCACATTCCCTCCATATTCAATCAGCAAGAAGTAAATTCCACTTAAACAGATCCTTCCCACAAAGCACTGCCTTGTGGAACAGACTCCCAAGAGGATGTTTACCTGATCACTATGATATTAACCTGTTCAAGTCTAGAGTCAACCTACTTGTTAATATAACCTCTACCTCGAGTGGCTCCCGGGCCTTATACAGAGTTGAACCCTACTGTTAAAAGTAGGATAGAAGAGAGAATCCCGAGATTCCACAGCAAAAGATTTTTTTTTTTTAGCAGCCCTTAATGTCACACCTTGTCAAAAGCCTTTGCAAAATATAAGGGTGACGGTTCTTGTGATGAACTTATTAAAGCCTTGATAATTTTGCAAGTCATGATCATTAAAACATCAGGTGTGTGCGTATATATATATATATATATATATATATATATATATATATATATATATATAGATGAGAGAGAGAGAGACCCAGGGTGGAGACATTTTCCCTGGTGATATGAAAGTGGGAAAGGGGTCATCTGGCTTTCTTCTCCCCCTTCAAAAGGGAACAGTGCACTCAAAATTTTATTTTTCTCTATCAAGAATCAGGCATGTAAGTGAAATGAATTGAGAAATAATTTTATCTTTTCCTAGAGTATTTAAGAAAACAAATATCAACTAGGAGAGGGATAGATCTGGGTTGTATTTTCATAGAAGAAAACAAATTGGAAAATTTAAATAAGAAAATCTCAAGGATCAAATAAGGCAGAAGTTACAAAAAAAAAAAAAAGTCCTATTGTTGGCAGGCAAGAGAAGTGATCTGGTTTATATTTTTGCTGGACAGAGATAATTCCAAGGAAATAGAAAGTAATCAGAATTAAAATTAAAGAATAATAAAACTCCAACTTTTCACCTAGATGCTTTCAAAATTAGATTTGTCACCAAGACAGTTATGCCTGTCCTGGGAAGTGGGCAGAGGTTGAATGCTGAGAGGAAAGGTGGAAGAGTATTTACCTACACCTCTATGGAGTGATGGTACTAGATGTAAAGTGAAGCAAGTTAGAGTTGAGGGGAGGAGCAATCCCTGTGACTACTCCCAAGGTAGATGGATAATTCTCTAAATTTTGGAAAGTTGATTAAGCAGAAATAGGGAACAAAGAATCCTTGTTTGGGATTAATGTCAAAATTGGGGAATCACTGAATCCCCAGAACCCACCTGCCCCACACTGGTTTGGGGTTGAAGTGTATATTCAGCAGAGTTTTGAAAGCTTGAGGACTTATATAGAGAATCTGACTCAAAAAAGAGCCTTGAACCCAGCTCCTCAAGAATTTTACAAGGCCCAGTGTCACTACAGAGATTGATGCAAGAAGGGTTAATTTCTGTTGTACCAAGAACTACATAAACCAATTGAAGATTAACTCAATGATTTTGTTTTTATTTAAGTTTCTGAAGACATTTCTTCCTTTAATATAGCTTCTATGGCTCAAACCAGTACTTCAAATACATTTGATCTTCTATTGCTCCAAGATCAAGAACACAAAGTGAGCAGACTTGGTGTGGATTGAAGCAGCCAGCGACCAACAACCAGCTTGGACCAATGTCAGTATTGAGCGGTGCAGAGTTAGCCCTATTGTTAAAACATTGTCCTAAGACCCTGAAGACTAGGCCACTAAATAGTGTAGGTGGTGGTAAAGGGGTTATAATACGAGTCATACTAGACATTTGAAGTAACAGAAATATGGTTCTACAGAAGGATGCTGTGGATACCATGGACTGAACATGTAAGTAACAATGAAGTTTTATGGAAAATGGAAAAAAACATGCTTAATATCAGGAAGAGATAGTTAAAATTTCTTGGGCACGTGAGGAAAGAGGGCTTAGAAAATTTGATACTCACAAGACAGATTGAGGGACAGAGGAAAATAACATAACCTACCTAGCAAGCTTGAGTAAATGGATGGTGGAGCAAGGCTTAGCAAAAATAAAAAGACAATTTATTAAGAGCTACAAAAGGCAGAAAAATGTGGAGAGCTAGGATTGCCAATTTTCTGAAGGGACATGGCACATAGAAGAATGTTCATCCAATACAAAGCCCAAGAGCCACTCAAAGTAGAGAGTTACTGTGTTGTGTGAGTAAGAGCAAGAAGTGAAATTCATGGGGTCATGTAGGAAAGATAATGATTAACTCTAGACTTAAAGAGGTCAAGATTGTAGTGATTGGGAAAATATCCTGCCAGGAACCTGTTCTACAATGCAGCTGTTCTAGGGAAGGAGCTGTCCAAATGGAACTTCTTACAGTAGGAATATAAAGGGAATGGAGAGGATTCACCCTTGTGTATGTAGCATGGTGGGTCCCAGTTGTAAAATTCAGGGGTGGTGAGACTAAGGAATGTAGCTTGTCAGAACATGACATGGAAATAGGGCAGTGAGCGGCTCACATTTCATCTGTGGGAAAGGGGTTGTAGGATAGAAAATAATTCATCACCCACATGTCCGCATATATGCTTTTGAACTAACAAGACAAGCGAGTGAGGACTGGGCAGCTCCAGCCCAGATATGACAGCAATACACAATTTTTGCTCTGATCTGACTCTTGTAAAGACATCTGAGGTGTCCAGTCAATGAAAAGCTGAGAGGATTTTGGGGGTATGTTTACAATTGGGTAGCTAGCTAATCCCTGTTGAAGATGCATACTCAGACAGATTTGCATTTCTTCAACACCTAATCTTGAGTTTATACTACATCTATTCAGAAGGGATGTACAGTGGAGTAATGGATAGTAGCTTGGATTGAGGAATCTGAGAGCAGAGTTCAAATTCCAGTCAAATCCATTACATTCAAATCCTCCTCTTCTCTCGCCCCCCCCCAAGCTATGGGTAAATTGCAAGACAGAACAGGTTCTATAGCGTTGGATGGCAACTGGTCTACTAGAGAAAGAAATGGCAAAAATCAAAAGATATATGATCGTTTAAGTGTGTATCATGCATAGCACATAACTGAGTGATTCAGAAGGGACTTAAGCGATTTCATACAGACAAGACTTGAAGCATTTTGATAAAGATGCTTTGGCAAGAGACATTTAATGCAAGTTTAAACTCTAGTAGACATTTACAGAGTTAATAAAGTTTATTAAGCTTACAGGTAGAACAAGAGAAAAGATTAAAAAACAAAACAAAAAACTGTGGCAGAAATCTTAAAAGTGGGCAGCCATTAACTTGATTAACCTTTGCTTAAAGTTGTTCTCAGATGTAAAAAAAACAAAACAAACAAAAACAAAAAAACAAAACAAAAAAAAAACAAAAATTAACAAAAACGAACAAAAACACTAGTTTAGAAACAAAATGGAAAATTCTTAAGATAATGAAAGCAAATTAGTTTATGCAGTCTAATATGAGTGTTAATGTTTAGTAGTACAGTGAAAGTGTGCTGGTCCATATATTTGAATTATGCTCTTCTATGTTAACATTTACCAGGGACATGGCACAAAGAAGATTCATTGATTCATTGAATACACACAAATCCTCCCAACCCAAATAAATATCAAGAGCTGCGTTTTTTTTTAGCTTTTTTTTTTAAACCTAAAAAGGTGCTCATTTTAATTAGTAGGCAGACCAGCATTACATGTGTTTAACTTAAGTTCCAGAATTCAGTTTTAGTAACCTTTATTATTCAACAATGAGCATTTTGCAGGAATATACTTAATAAAAGCAATTATTAGTCAATGGTTCTTCATTTTATATTCAGAACCATAAAATTAGATAATTCAGGTACAACACATACTCCTATACCATGACAATTTATATACACATACACACATATATAAATAAATAAAAATGTATAGGAAAATCCTTCATTAAAAATTATGGGGGGGGGGGGAATAAATTAATGCTTGCTCACTCAGTCACAATATTCAAATCTTTTACCTGAAATTGGGTAGATTCAAAATTCTCAAATTTTTCACGGGATTTCCTTTGTCCCATTTTAACATTTTTACGATCCTTTTTTTTAAATTTTTTCTTAAGGACATCAAATGGGATTCCATTTTTCTGTTTACTAAACATATATACAGAAAATGTATGCGGTTAGTTGGAATGAAATTTTGGTTTCACTTTTTTTTTTTATACTCCCAAGGCAAGGTATTCCCTATGTGGGTGCGGAGCAAGTTTCAAACATGCCTGATTTTGTAGAACATTATGACGACACTTAATAAACAAGTATTTATAGTATGAGACAGCTGGAACGAAAGTTGGGAGAAGATTGTAAAACAAAAAGGGGAAAACAATAGATGGCCAATCAATAACAATTTAGGCCTATTGGGTACTGAAGCAGAAAATCAATGTCAAAATTATATACAACTGAAATTTGAGAGAGAGAGAGAGAGAGACAGAGAGAGAGATAGCAAGTGAGCACACAAGTGGGTGGGTGTGTGTGTGTGCGAGAGTGAGTGAGTGAGAGACAATCACAAAGTGACAGACAGAAACCTTTAGATATGGAAAGACAGTGGAACTCGAAAAAAAATCTGTCTCCATAGGTTAAATTCAGTCCTAAATTTCCTTAGATTACCCAAATCTACAGACATCTGACAATGGCCAGAGAATACAAATACAACATTAGTCTGACTCGAAATAATGTAAATATGATAGTTGTCCAACTATTTAACCTTGTCACTATTTATTGCTTGAGTGTATTGGGATGTTTGTAAATACATTTGAAAAAGTATATTGACTTTAAACACAATGCTTCAACTTAGAAAAAAAATAAAGAAAATTAAGAGAAAAATACCTGGAAGGGTTGTTTTTTGTTGGAAAGTTTCCTGGATTTTTTTCTCCGGCCTTTTTTCTTTTTCTTGGCTGGAATAACTTTTACCTCCCCAGTATTGGGATCAACCACTTCCACAGGTGCAGCTTCTTCCTCCTCCTCATCCTCTTCATCCTCTTCATCATCCTGTGCAACAACAGTTCCACCACCAGTGTCACCACCTATAAATTTATTGTTATACAAAACATTTTCAGTTGTCATCAGAGCCGTTTTATCTTGAAAGTATGTCGTAAATCACTGATTTTTCATCTTTAATATGGCTGCCTGTTCCCAAGCATGCTCATCTGTTTAAACCCATTTGTGTTTCTACAACACTTATAGTGCCAAACTTTGACTTACAATCTAGCAATTATGCTGAACAATCTTTACAGCTCCAAGTGCAAGCCTAACCATGGTTATATACAGTTTTGAATTCAAAACTGCTTATCCTAGACTGGTTGCAAACCAAGGCTAGAGATTCCAGTCCACCTGGCTAACTGGTAGAGAAAGATGGATTCATACTATTCCCAGGGATATTTAGAGTAAAAAAAAAAAAAAAAGGAACTTGACTAATTCGAACTTAGCCATTACACTACCTGCATATCACAAAAAAAAAAAAAAAAAAAAAAAAACAGCCGAATGTTATTGATATGAAGTAGATTTATGTTATGTTTCTACAATATTCACTAGACTCATGATGGCATACAAATAAATTGCGAGGCATCCTTAATGTTGTAGCATACCTATGGACAATAATAGATATGTCCCCATTCACATAAATACAGTAGTAAATACTGTATGTTGGTCTGCAGTTGGAAATTCATTGTGGAATTCACTTCTGATATATGTTTGTGTCCTAAATTATTCATTACCAACCTTCATGTGATTATTCAGTAACCTTCCCTAGCTTACTATAAAAAAAAAAAAAAAAAAGCCCTAAGCCCATCTCTCCATTGACCCATTCAATCCACAGAAACACATCCATACCAAAAATTTTGAGGTCATCTTATAAACTCAAAAGGTTAAAACTAGAACTGCATATTGCTGTGATAGATGTCTTTATGACCCCATTGGGTCAAAGTTTAAGTTTCATTTTTCAGCATCTATTAATATTGAAGTAAATTCCATTTACTCTTGTCTTAATAGTAACTCCAATAAATCTAACAAAGTAAAATTAGCAACTGATCTTGAAATGGCTTCCTTGTATTTCCTATAAATATTTTCATGGCAGTCATTCTAATAAGCTCTCTTCCTTGATATCTTGACCACATGAATTTAAGCTAAGAGATTGGTTACTAGATCTCATCATTTTATTATTGAATTAGCTGTGAATGTAAACAAGTTTTATTCTAAGAGTTTTAGTCATTTCTTACCTGTGGAACGATTCTGATTTCTGGCTTCCTGCCAGCTACAATCTTCAAACATTTAAATGCAACATTAATGGCCATCGACTGTCTTCCTGAATCCTAATATCTTTTATTGGCCTTTATCCTCACTAGAGTCTTATTCCCTTTCACTATCAACAACTCATGCTGTCTTAGTGGCATTATTGCTGTGCTGGAACATATATATATATATATATATATATATATACCTTGAAAAGGTAGGTTCTGGCTCACTAGTTTTTTTTTTTTTTAGATTTTGCTCTACTTAGCATATTACACTTTTTTTTTTTTTTTTTTTTTACCCGATATACGTTTGTTCAAATATATTTTTTATTTTACAAATTATCTTTTTTTTTTTTCACACCACCAGTATATAGGTATTAAAATAATATATATATATATATATATATATATATATATATATATATATATATATATATATATATATATATATATATAAGGCATCAGTCCAGTTAGAATCAATAAAACTCCTTCAAGGCACTTGGAAATTCTATTATGGTAACTTCTTGATAAGACATAACATAATCTAAGAAGGAAAATAAAAGTGAATTTCAGTCTGTTGTTGATACTGTTAACTCAATAAAGAACAATACCTTGATAATGATGGTTTGTTCATTTGTTTAACGCCATATCAACTCTTTATGGGTCATTTAATGATGAAGCTATGAAAGTTTTTTATATTTTTTTATAATTTTCGTGTTTTGACCCCAGCTTGGGGGTTCACTATTTGCCTATAACTGGGACCCTAACAGGTGCTACCACCCTGGTTCAGGGTGGACCTTGCCATCATGTCCAGGACAACATGGTTAATGAGGTTTCCAACTTAGGTTAAATTATAAAAGAAATGAAAGTAATATATAAAAAAAAATATGCCTCAATATATACAAACTCCACTGATCACACCAACAGTAGATATATTTAACTTCATTAGTGATATAGTGATTCTATATACATAACATGTGCAAGGATAAATTGAGAGCAACTCAATTATTGCCTAAATTTTGATCTGAATGTTTCACCATTTAATGTTCAATCTATGCAAGTAATATTCCCTACTTAATGACATGCATTAACAAATGTGATTATGTTTAAATACCCACATTGTGTAATAAGCTGCAGATTTGATGTTCCTACATCTTTTATATAGCTTGCAGTATAAGATCTGACATTTACTCTAATTTTAGCTTAAATTTATAATGCCAAATTGACTGGAAAGAAGACTTGACCAATTTGAAAGTGGTAGATTATTTGCCTATCTGGGAAAATTAGCATTTGAAATGTTGGGTTTCTGCTTAGAGCTTTGGTACTGTTGGGAAATCCATAACTATTTCAATAAACAAAGCTAAACTGACAAAAATAAGTATTTACACTATATTGTTCAGACTGTTGTTCTCATCTTGATCGTCATAGTCACAATTATTCAGCCATTATATGCTCCGGCCTTCTTCAGTTGATTTATGTTGGAATTTCAAACTGAACCTTTTATTTCATCCACTGGGACAGATTGTTCTTTTCTGGATATCTCAGTTTCAGTTATTTCCCTTTAGTAACTCAACTTTTCTCAGTTTTTGTTCACCTCTACTGTGACCAGGTATTGAACTCACAACTCTTTGGGTAAAGTCACTGGATTACTTCAACCAACACTTATATACTGAGCCATGTCAAGTAATGATCTAATTTAGTTTGCTTACTATAGCCCCAGAGAGACAAGCACCTTTCAAGATTTAGATGCAAAATAGGCAGCTTCACCTAGTACACATGCATGATATACACATTACACTTTTCAGACCACACAGCAATGGAAGACCTTCACAGTCAAGTTAAATGACCTTTTTTAAGAAATATGAACTTCTGAAAGCCCCTATCTGGTAACATTTTTGTATCTGAAATGTAAAATTAATTTCTAAAGAATTAATGAATTTTATTTATAATCTGACATTTCTTAATACTTCAAATCTTATATTTAGTTGATGCACATGTTTAAGACAAACCAATTTGTTTTTTAAATAGTGTAAACTCATGTCTATCAGACTTTGCATTGAAGAATCTTAAAGAAAATGTGCCTTCTGGAACCAGTACCCCATCCACCTTGTAGGAGAAACCACTTAAGCTTGGTGTACTTTTAAAACCAGTCAGCAATGCACAAAAGAAAAACTTAAAAGAAATTCAACACTATGTTCAGTTTAGGAGGAAACTTTATAACCTATTGAATTAAGGAACAACAAATTAAAAAAAAAAAAAAAAAAAAAAAAAATCAAAAACATACCTGCAGCACTTTTAGCTCCTGGTGGTGGTTTGTAGGTAATCTTCAATTTTACTTTTGACTAAAAAGAGTAAAAGAGTTTTCAAAAAATAGGAAATATACAAAATGGATACATAAAGAAAGATCAATAAAGAAGATTTTTCTTAATTGAGAAAGTTTTGGTCAGTTCAGTGATTATTTACAAGATAATATTATGACAAAAGTTAATGAAAAATTAAAGATTCATCAATTTATAATAGAAAAATGAAGACTTCATTTAATTAAAGGACTGATTTAATAACTTGTATTTTCTATTTATTGAAAAACAAACATGAATTTGCTTGTTTGATAAAAGTGGAATTGCTAAAACAAAAGCTATAATTCTCAGTTTTGAGAAACTCTGGAAATTTTATAGTTTAAATACCATGCTGACAAACTGTCAAGTACGGTTCTCAAGAATTATTTAAAATCTATTTAAAAACAGTTATTACACATAATACCAATTTATTCTAAATGGGGGGGGTGCTTAACTTCTAACCTTTTCACTAAGTAACAACCCTTTATCCACAGTGTGTAGACAGTTCTTATTCTGCTGTCAGTGTTCACATATATCAAATTCTTATTCTTAAAACTGCTCAATTAATGCTCACCCTGTTTCCACAGAGTTCAAATACATCCTGCCTGACCTTGGGATTTAATTAATGATTAATTAATGAATCAATGCTTTAATCCACTAGGCTATTATTGTCATGTCCTGTGAGACAATTATGAGTGGGGAACTTTGAGGATTCAGCCTAACCTGCCTGTTGATGCATGTTGCTTCTGGTCATGCTTGACTGTACTCAGAAGATTCATTTTTTATTCCAGCAGCTGTTGAAGCCTTACTGAGAGTGCTCTTCATTAACGACTCCCGTATCTTATTTCTATACTCGGCCTAATAAGGAGGTTCTTATAGCAGAGTAAAAGTTTCAGACATCTCACTCTAGTGTTCATCTATTCAGTACATTTTTTTTTTTACACTTCATTCCAATGGGGGTTGATGTCTACCATACATGATCAGCTTTTCCCCCCAATTTCATTGTCTCTAACCTAATTACGTCTTTTCAATGTTCCTCCTGATTTAATCACAGGTGCTAGTTTCACCTTTATATTCTTTGCCACACTGCACACCCGAATCTTTTCCAATAAAGGCCTTGATGTAAGAAAAACTAGGGCAGTTTTCTGGTCCTCCTTATTTTGTGTTGGTTCTGTGTCGCACCAGAAGGTTTTTCTCATCAGAGTCCATCTTTCAAATCTACTCTGGCACCCGGCTGTTCATCTTGAGTTTCAACAAAATCCAAAGACAGATATGCAATGTGATAGGTCCTGACCTGGCATCTCAACTACAGTCACTTTCTCAAAGATGTGATGTTGCTTCCCTCTGTCTTTTCCACAAATATTTTCATGGCAACTGCTCTAAGGAGCTATTTTCACTGGTGCCCCAACTACATGAATTTCAGCATGCTACTAGGTTGGCATCTCAGTTAAATGTAACTGACTTCTACTCCAACAGCTTCTTTTACTCTTCCCAACAGTGGAACTCCCTCCCTCTTACTTGCTTCTGATAACTATAATCTTCAAAAATGTAATGTCAATAAACATATGATGCCTCGATATTGATCCTTGTCCTCTATATCCTCTCTGTAACCCCTTGCATGCTAGTGGCAATCCAACCTTGCTTGGGGTGAAGTGCTTACCAAAAATAAAAAAATAAAAAATCAGGGGAGACAGATTGGAATAATCACTGGTGACAACTGCAAACCTATAACTACACCATCCTTCTTTTGGTATATGTCAGCATTTTCATCAGATCATGTATTGGAATGCTAGTATCTGAAGTTTAATTTTGATAACTGAAATTTATGTGGAAGTGTTTAGAATTTTAAAACTGAGCATTTTTAATTCGATTTTTATTTTCACTATTAAAAAATGGGGAAATACATATGCACTGAAACAGAAGAATCATTTTCAAGTTATGCAATTTGCTTTGCAAAAAGGACATACATGAACATTTCTCATCTTTCTGCCTCAAACAGAATCAGGTGTTTTTTTTTAATATATATATATATATACACATATAAAAAAAAATGCATAGGTGTTCTAGTTGCTTGAAGATCATGAAAACATGACACTTAAGATGTGCTCCATTGATTTGTAATGGAAAGTTTGGTGGTCAGCATTTATTTAATGATGTTGATGGCCCAAATCAATCCATACAATTTTTTACTCTACGAATATGTTAAACAAAATGCAAAAAGAGAAAACAACAAAAAACATGTGATAAAAGACATATTTGAATAACAAGTAATTTTCAATATATTTTTGTAATGAAATATTTTACAAAAATGCAGTGGATTTTTTTTTTTTTTTTAGGTGAAATCTTGTTAATTTATGTTGAGCTTAAGTTTGGTGAAAGATTAAATTTTGTTAATGAGTTCTGATTTGAAAAGATGTTTGTTAGAATCTGTTATTGAAGATTCTGTAAATTAATTGCAAGAGAAAAGAATTTACATTTAAGAATTTACTGTTCATGTAAGTAGTAAATGTTTGTAAAGTTGAATGCAATTTTGTGATCAAAGTTATGTTTTGTAAAATACAATGTTCTCAAATGTGGTGAAAATGATTTGTTGGCAGGAATTTGTTTAACTTCTGCGTAAGGAATTTGGTGAGTGAATGGGAATAGAGTTCACTGACGAGTTTGTGAGTGAGTGTAGATATCGGTAAGTTGTATAATGTTCGTATGAAAAAAAAAAAAAAAAAGACTTAAGATTGTGTGACGTGAAGTTTAGTTGCAATTTGTTTGAAGTCACAACAGTCATTGGCAAGTGTGAATGGGTTTCTGTTTTTATTTGCTTTGGGTAGCTCACAGAAACTTGGTACAAACTTGGATTTCAGTCACAAGCTGTAAAAATTACTTAAGTGTGGGTGGATAGTCATACCTACTTGTATATTATTAACCAATGAGAGCTCAAGATTTTTTTGAAAGTCTATGAAGTTGAAAGTGTTCTGTGATCCACTTTTTGCAGAGATTTGATCCAACTATTTTGGGTATTGGAAATAATGTAGAATTTGAGTTCTACAGATTTTTGCTCTGTCCAGATAGCCTTAGTGTTTAATACTATTTATGTAGATGTTTGTCTTCTGGTCTTTTTTTTTTCTTTATTGAAGAAAAAAAAAAAAAAGTTATTTTAAACACCACTAGTAAGTCATTTGATCTCATGAGCAAATAAGATTAAAGAGGCAGTAAAACTTTAATTAAAGTTCATATTCTAATTAACTTTTCTCCACTTAAAAAAAAAAAAAAAAAAAAAAATGAAAATCTTACGAATATATTAAGAGTCCTGAAAATGTCAGTGCAACATATTCCTTAAATGAAACTTGTTACTCTTAAATTCTATAAAAAAATGGCTTTTAATTCCTAAAAGTTAGTGCTTTTGCAATTTAAAAAAAAAAAAAAAAAAAAAAAAAGTGTAGTTAATTGAAGCATTTATAGTAGATATTAATTTTTAAGTACATACTGGCAGTTCTCTTTTGTTAGAATCTTTCAGGGTTACATCAAGTTGCTGCGTTTGTTCTCCACCCTTCAGAAGATTCCGAAGAGGAATTGTGGCTGTACCAACAACTCTGCAAAGAAGGAATGGAAAAAAAATTCATTTCCTTGATAAACAAATCCAAATATCACATTTTATCTTTGTTAAACTGGTCCACTCAAAAGTTTCAAAATACAGAAATTTCAGTGGAAATTTATAAGCAAATAGAATGGAAATTTTTTTTTTTTTATAAAAAGACGAGGGAGTGAGGAGCAAGTCATAATTGATAAGGTACCAAAAATTAGAAACAAAAGTTATTTTATATTTTTGATTATAGGTGGTTTGAGAAATGCATTTAAAAAGGCTTGAACTAGGCAAGAAATAGCACATGCAATTATTGCCTTGTTAAAGTAAGTTTATGTATGCTCAAATGTTTGGTAAAACAATGTAGGTACCAACAATATTCTCCAAATGGCCGAATATTCAAGAAATAGACAGGCGTTTAGGAGGTAGGTTAGACGAAGGGGAAACAATTCCAAACTGAGTGACTCCCCTTTTTTAGTCAAATAAAAAATTTCAATTGATGGAATAAATTTGATTCTCGTGGATGCATATTCACAGAGAAGGTCTTTCAAATATGATTAAAAATGATATAGAAAAAAAAACCGTAAAAGACAACAGTATTAAGCCTTTGGAATACAGAACATCTATGTCCAATCTAGAAATCGAGTGTCATTCTGTGTAACTGTGAACAAACTTTAATTATTTACTCGATTAATCAAATCAAACTACACAATTATCAAGATTCTTAAGTTAACGATAACTAGTAGTTTTTGATTTCTGGAATGTAAGTTAGTAATAGGTTATTTAATCAGGGATTCTCTGAAGAGGGATCTGAGATAATCTTATGCAGTCCGTCCTTTTTTGAGGACTACACTGACGTTTCACAACTTGAGTAATGTTCCGATCTAATGCATAAATAAAAATAAAAAAAGTAAACAAAGCCGTCAGTTTTTATTCTAATGAATGGTAGAAGTTCCAGTTTTATGCTTACGACTAAAGAAAAATGGCAGTGGTTCTTAAAAGAGTGGCTAGCGAGTCATTTTATTTTTAATTGCTTAAGGGAAGGCTTTTCTAACCACAAAATAACCAAACCGCTTCATTTTTTGACTGTTTAATTTTCTTACACCTTATAATTACATAAAAAAAAAAAAAAAAAAAAAAAAAAAATGAAATAAAATAATTACCGTATAGCGTGTCATGCGACCTTTGAAAACTTAATTTTGAAGCTTATTTAACTACAATATGGATATAGATTGGCCAATGGAATAGTATACACTAATTTTACATCTCATGTATAATGCAACCCTCTTAAAATTAGTTTCAAAATTAGAGTCTTCAAAAGTCACAATACAAGAGTATATATGGTAAACAAAAATTCAAATTTTATATACAGTTCAACTTTCTTTTCTTCAAGTTGAAATCTACTTTCCATTCTGAAGTTTGCTTGTGGAATTTGCTTTCCTCCTGATTTTCAATGCATTTCTATAAGTTATACATTTATGCAATACAAAATCTTTTTGATATGCTGATAGCATAATGGTCTTTGGTGCAAAAAAAAAAAAAAATTTAAATTGCTAAGTTTGTCATATCCATTTCTGCACTATTACACTTGAAAGACAGGAATCCATCTCTTCAAGAATTATGGCTTAACTGTGCTTTCTAGCCTTGAGTGGCATCTAGTCTAAAATAAGGACTATTCTGAATTTTAAACTGGAAGACAGCAACAGGAAACAACTCCATTATCTTTCCAATAACTCATGGAAATTCACAGATAATAGACAGGAAGAAAGAAACTTACACAGAGACATTGTATCAGATCTGACCATTAACAATCCATTTCCAATAGTTCAGAACTTCACAGCTAGGATCGGCTATACCATGTTCACCACAAATCATCACCATTTCCTTGTTCCTTTGGTAAAAGACTAGGTTCTATTCAAGTTAATTTGTGGAACAGACTCTCAAGAAGATGCTTTCATGATCACTACAATCTTAACCTCTTCAAGTCTAGGGTCAACATAGTTATTTTATATATTCTTATAATGGGCATATGTCTTCCTCGCTTTACACTCTTACAACAATCACTCAGTAACTACCTTGAGTGGCTGTCGCATTTTTATTAAAAAAATTATTTTTAAATTCCCAAATATTTCTATAATCAATTCACTTGCAATATTAACCCTATTTTTTCAATGTTTGCATTAATTTTAAATACAGACAAGCATTTTTCATATTCAATGTGCAATACAGTCATGAAAAAGAGCTCAATTTTATATAAATTCAAAAGGTTGCTTATGTCAATATTCTGTTTGTCTGTACAAAAAGATAACTAGAATGGATAATTGCATTCAAGTCAATGAGTAATGATAAAAGTCAAATATTGCTTAAGTGTATTCCGTTGAAATACAAATTGTATAGATAAATTTAAAGACAGTCAAAAGATAAATTTGCAACTTATCTGTTTTTAATAGAATTTAAGATATTTTAAGCATTTCTTATAAACGCCCAACTCCAGGCAAAATTGTTGGGCCAAGTTTTATAAATTTCTTCCAAGACTTCAGCTTCCCTTAGTATCTCATGTCAACATGGAATTTTCACTGCCAAAAGTCCTGGGATTTCAAGAACAGATGTAAGATTTTTAAAATAAAAAGAATTAACAGAAACTATTGAGGAGGAGGAATATGACAGCAGTCAATTTATGTGTTTAAGTGGGAAGATTATATTGAATCTACTGCTAGGAAAATTGGTTTATGGTCTCCCGCTAGACAATTTTTATCTCCAGAATCTATCTTATATATTTATAAGTATTGCTATCACATCTAGCTCGAGATTCATTATAAAAATCGAAATAATCTACAATGTTATTGGTCCTGACATCACTGCTTCAGTCACTGTACCTTTTCTATTACAATTTTCATAATTGTTCTGATGAGCTTTCCTCTTTGGTATGTTGACTTATAAATTTAAGCACAGTACAAGATTGGCAATTAAGTCATCGTACAGTTGAAATGGCTAGATGTAACCATAAGCTCTATGCTAACAGTTTCTTCTATCACACTTCTCGCCTGTGGAACTCTTCTGGCTTTCTGCTTTCCAGTCAACTTTGATCTTCAAAAACTTAAATTCAATATCAGTTATCTCCTGTCTTAATTCCGAATTTTATTATTGTTCTTAATGCATTTTTTTCTTATTCTCTCACACTCGGTATCCAATTGCATCTTAGTAGCTTTGTTACCTTGCTTGGGGTGAAATGATTAAAGACATGCCAAATTTAAAACTTTACAAAATATAATTCTTAAAGAAAAGGTATTTGCTTTGGCAGTAAGTTTATGAAAGTCAGGAAAATGTAACCTCTAATAGCAATAATTTATTTGATTTTATACAAGGAAAAAAAAATCTATTTCTATTAAAAAATAGACAACAGCTCATAACATGCAAAGTAAATTTTCCACAATGGAAGATTTATCATTCAGGTCAACTTAAAATTCACCAAGCCACAAAGTTACTCTTCAGTGTACAAAATTAAATTTTGTTACTTTGGTATTTATAGACGCTTACAAAAGTCTCAGCACAGTTAAGCATTTTTTTTTTTTTTTGCCTTGAACTTAGGCAACTACAGTTATTAGTCAATGAAGGAGTGTATTAAAACCACAAGTGGGCAAAGGTATTTCACTGAACATAACTGGGTGTTGCTAGCAATGTCATTTTCACAAGACATTCTTAGAAGTAGCAAAGCTTTAAAAAAAAAAATGAACAAGTGACAGAAGGCTAGCTGGAGCAATCTCAAATTCAGTGTTTGTCACCTACATGTCCCAAATAAACTGTTCAAATGAGACAAATTTTCTTTGATGTCAGTTTCAGGCATTAAATTCCAGATAAGACAATCCATATATCAGAATAAAGTCCACTTAGAATATAGGAATAATTTTATGGTGTGTGTGTTTTAATAGATATTATACTCAGATGTACATCAGATATTATACTCAGATGTACATCAGATATTATACTCAGATGTACATCAGATATTATACTCAGATGTACATCAGATATTATACTCAGATGTACATCAGATATTATACTCAGATGTACATCAGATATTATACTCAGATGTACATCAGATATTATATCAGATGTATATTTATACTCAGATGTACATCAGATATTATACTCAGATGTACATCAGATATTATACTCAGATGTACATCAGATATTATACTCAGATGTACATCAGATATTATACAGATGTACATCAGAGATGTAGATGTACATCAGATATTATACTCAGATGTACATCAGATATTATACTCAGATGTACATCAGATATTATACTCAGATGTACATCAGATATTATACTCAGATGTACATCAGATATTATACTCAGATGTACATCAGATATTATACTCAGATGTACATCAGATATTATACTCAGATGTACATCAGATATTATACTCAGATGTACATCAGATATTATATTATACTCAGATGTACATCAGATATTATACTCAGATGTACATCAGATATTATACTCAGATGTACATCAGATATTATACTCAGATGTACATCAGATATTATACTCAGATGTACATCAGATATTATACTCAGATGTACATCAGATATTATACTCAGATGTACATCAGATATTATACTCAGATGTACATCAGATGTTACATCAGATGTTATCAGATATTATACTCAGATGTACATCAGATATTATACTCAGATGTACATCAGATATTATACTCAGATGTACATCAGATATTATACTCAGATGTACATCAGATATTATACTATCAGATATTAATATGTAATTCAATGAAAAAAATCCATGTTACACATTGGTCCTTTGAAAGGATTGTAATAATACAGAAGATGCTTATCTCCTTTTGATGGTGATAAGTCATGTGGATCACATGACAGTTGCTTTGTGATGTCACTGTAGAGATTGCCACCCTCAGCAAAACTCATCTAGTAGAGGAAGGGCACCTGACAGAGCAAATCTGCCATTGACACATTCTTTTGGATTGGATGTGG